TATATATTTTTAAAATATTTCCTATGAATAAATAATTAAAATATTTTTAGTTAACCCATTGATTAAACATGACTACAGAAGTAGACATACTATGTGTAGAACTGTCAGCACAGAAACTATTTCTTGTAATAGCGATTGCATCCATTCATGAATAGTCGTATTCCGGCAGTCCCATCTCAGATCTTAACAGTAATCCTAACGAGCAATTGCGATTCTAATCAAAGACTGTCAAGACTGATCCAGTCAGATGTATACGCAATTTCTATAGTATAAGTTACTTTTTGCGTTCTAGGACAAGCCACAAAAGCCTAGACGTGACAGAGAACAAATATCGAATAAATATAATTTCAAGCTATTGTGCGCGCCTTAAAGTATGAACATCATACTCAAAAACGTTACTACGCCTAAAAATATGCTTACAGATTGAACGCATTAGGCAATTGTAGCAACAACGACAAAATCGTTAGTAAAGGGACGAGATTAATATGAGCAGTTTGGGGTTGTAGCTAAACAAAAAAATCATTTGCGGATACTTCGAACAAAGGAAATCTGAAACTTTTATGCGCGTCAACGGAAACCAACTATGTTATGCATACGCTTTAATATTTTTGCAGTATTTTTCGTTAAAATTTTCGTACATAATATTTTATGGCAACAGCGTGACATTAATTGACCGCAACAATTTTACAATAGCAGTAAATTATATTGCATTTAAAAAAAAAAAAAAAAAAAAGTTTTAAATTCCTTTTACATACACCTATCACCCAGAAATACTGGTGACAGGCTGTTGTCATCGCAACGTACCAATCTTCACTGCCAGTGATGAGAGTATTGGTTAGTTGGTTGGTTTGTTCATCAAATGTTATGCAAAAAGTTCGTTAACAAAAAAAAAAATTTTTTTTTATTTACATATGTATTCATACTTGAAATGAAATAACGAAGAGAGAAAAAAGGATTGATTAAAATCAAATAAATGATAATAAACTGGAATTTCCCAGTGCTATCAATGGCGCTGCGATGGAAATTATTGACTTCTGTTAAAAGCTTGTGTAAGTTGCCGATCCTTTATATAACTTCGCGCAAAGTAGCTTTCCCGGGGGATTTCGTTGCCGGCGATACCTTAGCTTGACACTGTCCTACGGGAGAGCGCACATAAACGACCGCTCGCGAAGTACTGATTTGCCCAACTCAAGATAGCGATTTACTGTGGTACGGTCAGGACAATATTGCAATCGAAGATTTTGCCTTTAAATGCATACTGTTGCCAATTAGCTACACATCAATTCCGCTTATGCGAATGCGTTTCGGAACACAAGCTGACAAGCATAATTAGTAAATCATTTGTGAAAGAAAAAATACTTCACACTTTTTCTAGCTGAAAGAAAGCTAAACTTTTCGAAATCGAAGTATGCCTTCTAATTAGGGAACTGTGATTTATACCACAGTCGGGAAAGCAGCCAATGCACTGCTAAGTCTCTAGGCCATAACTTAACAGATAAAGAGCACAAAATTCTGTTGTTCGCGACCCATGAAAATAACGCTCCCTTTGGTGCTCTCTTCCCGCGGCAAAGTCGGTTCGATTCTTTAAATGATTCCAATGTGTTGCGATGAATTTATACCTCATCCTTAGTTACTTAATTCGAAGACATTCGGCTGTATTAGGCTTAACGAAGTGTTGTTGACAGTAGGGATCTCTCAGGAAAGTCATCATCAGCCGATACTGTTTGTGTTATGTATTAATGATCTCTTACACGTGATTAAGTGTCGATGAACGCTGACGATGTGAAACTATTTAACTTTCTATTAACACTGAACTAAGCTCCACAGATCTTGAGCCTGGCCTAAAAAAGTTAGTTACTTGATGTTGTCTTTTTCAAGAAGGAACGCGTTCTTACCGGAAGAGACTTAAAAAAATGCAGAATATGGAAAAAATTCTCGATTTATGGGGGCTTGGTTTTGACCAACGTATTGAGTCCTTCATTACTAAAGCAAATGCCACATTAGAGTCTGTTAAACGATGCGCTCGAGAATTTGATGATTCATACATTATCAAAAGACTGTGTACATGTCTTTCGTACGATATTAAAATATGTTCCTCTGTCTTATTGCTGCTATGCTTAATCAATTGAATCGGTTCAAAAAAAATTCATGCTCTTCGCCTTAAGAAAAGGATATGAATGCTCTTAACTCTTTCTATTCTATTCATTGGATTTTTAATTATGCGAATATATATAGATAACCTGTCAATAGATGAATTGACCTAATTCAGCTACAATGTATGTAGTCGAAATCAAAGTTGTATTAATAAATAAAACAAAAAAACAAGAAAATCCTGTTTTTTTTTTGAATGAACAGGTGCAATTGTTTGTTTATTACAGGTGTCGTACAACATGTGGCACAAAATTTAAGGTCTAAGGTCTTCTCTCTTCTTTCGATGATAAAGAATTTTTTCGTTATATAATTTCTCCCTTTCGTTAGGCGCATTATTTCCTTGTTGCACTCCAGACACAGAGATATACGAGGATGTCTTAAAAGAAAGTGAAAAGAGTGACACGAAAAGATGTCACTGAAGGGCACTTTAGAAAATTCATTGCACCGTGCAAAGTAGTAAATGCCTGCACGCTTCCAAAGGCTCAAAGAATCCAACGGTTGCAAAGTATTCAGGTCTTCATTGGCTCAGTACAAGAGTGCACCTAAAAATTGTATTGGACTAACATCAACGTTCCACACGCAAACAGATGATTTCACTAATTTTGTAAGCGACAAGTGTACATACAGTTACAGTTTTACGTAAAGAAAATTGACTGATGAAACAACACGCGCTTTACGGAGTTAGAACATATTTCTTGCTCCTCAAGCGACTTGAGTGAGCGATGGCCACCAAGATAGATATTGCTTTAGTGTCTAAGCACAACGGAAAAAGGAAATTACTGCTGCATTCCTTGTTCCATCTAAAGCATCTGTTAAATAGAATATAAATAATATGCTGGTGTTTTTCTTGTTGAAAAATCGTTAACAATAAACAGTTAACTATCTGTTATTTAAGCAAAATTTACAAAAACATATAATAAATAAAAGAAATTATTATTAAAGCAATGGTCAATTAAAATAATATTTTTCTTCGAAAGAAGAAGAAAAGATTGTTTAGTATTATTACGGACATGATGAACAGATTAATGGATGATTGATGGATTTTTTAATAAAAAAAATTTCAAAGATCTTGTCCTAGTATTAATGCAACGTTGCACAAAATATGTAGTAAGCTACATATTTAGATAATTTACCATGAAACTATAAATCTAGCTTACTTGACGTTGAATAAGTACGCAAATGTGTATGTGTTACTTGGTATTCGGTTCCATTGAAACTTTTAAATAAATGTTTGCATTACCACGTGATGCTGTTTATAGTTTCTGAGAACTATTCATCACTAAGTTTGTCAGGCTTCTTATATACTCGTTAGTAGTTATGTTGTGGGTTCAGTGTGCATGTTTTTTTTTTTCTTTTTTTTTTTACAAAAAGTCAGGAAGTTTTCCATAATTACTTGCTTTGCGCTTGTAACCGATAACGTGCTACCATTAAATCTTTCCTTCCATACATGCGTATGCATACAGCCAAGGGTAAATGTATAGCTTTGAACTTACCACAAACAAAAAAAAAAAAAACCGTAAAAAATGTTTATAAAAGATATTCGAAGATATAATTTTATTTTAATTAATATTTTAATTAATATTTAATTCTATTGGCTGGGTCCATCTTATCTTAATATCCCAAAAAAAAAAAAAATTAATATCTTGTTATTTTAAAACAGTTTGAAAATATGAGAACAAATACTAAAATTATATTCGGTTGCAACGAAATCTTTTACGCGCATCCTCGTCATCCTAAAAATTATTAAATGAAAGGAAAAAACTAAATTTCCCTTACTCTGTAACATCGCGTGGTCTTGGTTGATTTTTACATTTTGTAGAATAAACTTTGGAGCTTATATCGTGAATCCGTCGTGTAGTTTATTAATACCGAGCGAAAATCACGAAAACCAAAGGTGCTCCTAGTTCTTGTGATATAATCGAGAGGACGTTGTAGGCGTGTCTGACCGGTCTTGATCATGTTCAAATTCCTTCGCAAATTTATGGGCGATGTCTTTATTTTTGCAGTTGGACAGACGAACAGTTGTACACCGTTAAGTGCATTCCAAACTTGACTAACTTGGCTAACTATATGGGATTTTTAAAGCTTGCGTCTGTGGGTTATTAAGATTTCGATATAAAAAAAAATGCAGTTTTAATGTACGTTGTTGGGTAGACGTGTTTTCCAGTACTTGCGTCAAGATATCATTCACTGCGTCAACTTTTTAGTTTAACGCCTGTTCGTTGGGTATTTCGCTGGCACCTCCACTAATATTCCGTGGAGTGTGTGTTTTTGTGCTTTGATCGGCATTCCCGTGCAAAATGACCAGGTTTCTGGCAGACATAGCACTTGCGTATTTTTGAAACCGGCATTCGCTTATTTTCGCGCAGAATTTGTCGAAACGCCGCGATAGCGTTCTCGCTGGTAACTTCCGTGCCTCTCACTTTCATGTTTGACTTCCACAGCACATTATCCTCTTGTCTAAGCGCGAATCCAAGTGTTTCCGTAAACGTCGTTTTAGGTGAGGTTCGTACAGCTTCTTTAATCTCCGCGTCGCGAAGTCCTCTAACAAAGGTGTCGATTTTTAACATTTCCAGCACGTCTTCGGGCACACCGATATACGCAAGATTGGCGAGGCTTTCGATTTCGGTAGCGTAATCTTGGATCTTTTCGTTCAGCTTCTGGCAGCGCAAAGACAACTCTAAGTGGCTTATCTCCTTCAAATGTTTGCTACCATATTTCCTTTCCAACGCATCCATAATTGCAGCGAATTCCGTTCTTTTCCCTTCTGGGATTATCTCAATGATATCCGTGGCTGCTCCTCTTAAGGAAGTTATTAAGGCGACAGCTTTATCGTCGTCATCCCACATACTTTTCGTTGCAACAACACCAAATTGTATCTTGAATACATCGAAGTTAGTGGTACCGTCAAATAGGGGCATTTTTACTTTCATAGATCTGGTGGTTACGTCATTAATTTGTAGTTTAGCCATTTCTTTTTTTAAGGCTTTTATTTCACTTCTCAAGGCGTCTGTAACTTCTTCCTGGGCATTTATTCTGGCAACCAACTGGCTTATCACATTATCAACTTTTTCTTCCAGCACATAACGTTTGCCTTCGAATTGCTGGTACGCTTCGTCTTTATGTATTTGCCGTGATTTTCCTGAATTTTCTCGATCTTTTCCATCGTCCCATCAATTTTTGATTCTATTTCTTGTTGTCCTGACTGCATTTGCTGCTGAATTTGTTGCTGCATTTGTTGTTTTTCTAGATGTTCGACCAGTCCTTGTTTTAATTCAGCTTTGGTCCCGACTGTACGAAGGTTTCTTTTTCCAAGCTTCTGTTCTCTTCAAAAGAAATACACTTCAAAATGCTTTTATTTACAAGTATATTCCTTAAGAAGAGGATTATTCACAATTTATTTTTTGGCAATGCTCTCGACTGCTCAACATAAATATTCTTTTTCTACTAACAGTGCCTTCGGCAAATATTCTATTTATATACATTTTAACAAGCATGTTTCTATTACCTAAGTTCATAGTTTCATTTTCAATCTGTTAACCTGCTTTTCCGCTAATCTTTTTCATCGGCCGGCAGCTGCATGACGCGGCGCGAATATGCATTTGGTTTTTCCCTCTCTAGGGAATTTTTTATTATTTAGGAAAATTAATTATCCGGAATTAACTGGATTTGAGATTTCCATAATAATATTTTACAAAAATATTTGGTTTAGGAATTAGGAAGCAAGAAAGCTACACTCGGTCGGTGCCGAATCTCGCATGCCCGTCACCATTAATATATTTAGCGCCCCATGCGTTTATTTTTAGTTGTAAAAAAGTGAATGGGATAAAATTTATTTCTCAGCTATTTTTCGCTGTAAGATACTGCTAAGACAAATTAATCTATTACGTTGTGACGTTCCTTATAATCTATATAGATTTAAAACACATCGCTTGTCGAATTCTATTCTTCAAGTCCCTCTATATGATATTTATGTCGCTAGTATTATTAAGAAAGAATTGATCCACTATGCCTTGGTGGGAAAAAAAAGTTTAATGGCTTATAAAATTGTGTGGGCACAGCCAATTTTTTCCCTTTTTTGTACGTAAATAGTAGAGTTTTCCGTAAAGTAAATGTAGAAAATTTCAGCGTTTTATCTTTTATAACTTGTGAGCACTGAGAGTTGTTTAAAGCAATAGGGTTGTATTCAGGTATGTATATGCAGGTATGTACTCAGTTTGTTCCACTTTCAATACAAAGTTTCCTGAAAAAACTTCCAATGTTTCAAACTTGAAATCACCACATCCCACACAGACAAACAGCCAGCAAACAAGGCCTAATCAGTTCAGAATTTTATGCTGATCAAAAATATATATATATAGGGTCTCGGAACTTTCCAAGCAACCTTTGGGTGTTGCTAACATTATGACAAAGTGAACATACTCGCAGCCTTCGGTGGGGAGTATAACAAGCAAGAACTTTATATACTTTACTTTATAGTCACGCATGGCCGACCATCAGATACCCTACACCGCTTCGCATAGTATAGTTATTCATTTAATTTAGTCATAATACGGCAAACATTACTAATTATATTCCTGCAAAGGCGTAACATAATCTTAGCAAGCTTAATTTTCTTCCTAAATATTTTATTATATCTTAGTTTAAGCCACTAAAGACGAGAAATTAGATTTTCTCTCCGTATAACGGCTTTTGATGGAGTCTAAAGAGTAAACCTATATACCCCCCAAATTCCCTAACGTTAATTTTTTTGCTAAATTGCTACTATGGACCAGTTGTCATCCTAAAATATTAAAAATTAAACCTTTGTCTGGAGGACTTATTATTCGTGAGAAGTTTTATAAGGAATAGATCCATGTGCTTCAAATTTGGTACCCTTTCTTTTTTATGTCAAATTACTATCACGAACAAGGTTTCATCATAAAACATTAACAATTATGGCTTTTTGGCATAAGAACGGTTTATATTTCCTGAGATTTCTTATACGCGGTGGTATCCAACAATTAGATCTATGTGGTCCATATTCCTTTTGGTTGCATGTTTTGTCGAATTATTATTGTGAACCAATTTTCATTATACAATATTGAAAATTAGATCTCTTTATACTGTATAGCAGTTGTAATACAGGTTTCGTAACATTCAGAAGAGTTTAAGGCAGACCCACTTTAGTTATGTAACTGTATTACGCAAAGTTACGCAGGGCGTCTAGTGATTGTGATTGCCCGACTATAATGTTGTTGTGCTTGTATTTGTTTCAATGCTTGAGTATACGCTTAAGAACCTTCCGGAATACTATCGTTCTATGCATCTAAAAGACTTTTGAAGACTGTTGCCGCGCAGTCTTCCCTTAATTTAACTGCGTTAAGAAACACTTTCGTCGCGAAGAGTATGCCATGCGTCCATGGCTGTATGTAAACATGTTGCAAAAACGACTTATTTTAAATCACTTGTGTGATTTAACAAAAGAAAAGTCATCATATTATAAAAATAAACTTTTTTTTTTTTTTTTTTTTAAATCAAGGTAAACTCGACTGACTTTACTGTTTGTTATCATTAATTTTAAAATTTTTAACATCGCATACGCTTAATGGAAAAATAATTAATTCACATTGCGGTTCGATCCTTTAAAGCGGCATTAAATGAGCCTTTAATTAAAAATCAAACGGTCGATAAATAAACTTGTTTCTTTTTTAAAGCTGGTCTCTTCCTTTCATTTATCTGCATTTTTAAAAATGTAATTATTGTACAAATGGCTTTCTCTCGATATATTTGCATATGACAATGGCTTGGCACGAATCGTTTAAACTCTGATTGTAGTGTATTTTATAAACATATATTTTTGCATTTTTTAGTTGAAATAATTGTGTTAAGCTTATATCGTTTCACTTAACAGTTAGCATCAATACCCTTTCATTCACTTTTTATTATTGAAATAATATCCCGTGAAAATTTTAACCCGCAATATAAATAATGAATAATAAGGTTGACATCTACCTCATTCATCGAAGTGCGTTCTGTCAACGAGTGTGTAGCATTGCCGATTCGGTTTTCTGTTCAAATTTCCGCTTATGATATAACAAGCAAATGGATGCTAGAGAATTTAAGGTCTAGGAAGGGCGATGCCGGCAACAGCGTAGCTACTAGTAGAGCCATCCATGCAGCTAAGATCGAAGGTGAGAGTTGAAGCGAAGAACAATCCGGTAACCCGGATGGAATACAGCTAACATTGCGTCCAAGGTATTTAGGTGACAATAGGGAATGCAAATGATTTTTGAAACTCGCGAATCTTTGGTACCTTTCTGTCCTTAGAAGGCGGATGAAGTAGTGTAATTGGTGAATGGGGTTAGTGTAAAGAAAACGTATATCATCAGAGAGCACCGGGAGCCCACTGAAGTAATTATCGCCCAAAAAATGGCATACAATGAACAACTCATGCATAGCGCTGAATCTCCGGTAATATGAGGATTCTGAGATCAGCCAGAGAAAGATCAAAGGCACATTAAGCTTGTATGAAGCAGGAAAACTAAATATTGATATTCTTAGCATAAATGAAAGGTTGGGGCTAAATTCTGAACAGTTTCAAGCTTTTTCAGATTGTAAGATATACTTACTATTCAGGTAACAGTAAAAATCAACACAGACGCAGAGTTGATATTATTATTTTGAAAAAACATGAAAAGTGCATTGATAACAATTCGTTTCCTACTCCGATACAGTCTTGCTACTAAAACTTATCGAAAAACTTACAAAAATTAATATTATTGAATTAGACGCACCTACCGCGTGTAATGATCCAGAGGAATTTGAAACATTCTACTCAAAGCTTACAGCAATGCTAGAGCTAACGAAGAAATCTTCGCCGGTTATGTACATCTTCGGGAAGCAGACAAAACGTCGTCCGAAATCAGGCATGCTACTCATGAAAAAACATCTGGAACATCAGTTTAAGAACCCATTGTCTTCCCATGAGCAGAAGTACAGTCACATCACAATCCTCTAGTCGCAAGGATTAACTTAAAACGGGCATCAGTTAAAAACACCAACTTTTTGAGACAAATCAATGTCGGAAAAGTGAAAAGGCTATAAAAAGAAAAACACTCTACTATCTGATGATAGGCTACATTCAAGCTATTACAACGAAGATATATATGCAGTGCGTCGAAGAGAACAACTGAAATCCTGAGACTTTTCTCTGCTGAGAATAAACTTGGTTTTAAAAGAAAAAAGTCGAACAACAAATGGATGACTGATGAAATACTGGAACTTATCGAACGAATGACAAAAACAACGCTATGGGTCAATGTTCGGGCACTTTTCGGACCTGGTTCTCTTATTCCCCTTTTCGAACTAAAAGATCTATCTGATCATCCCCATAATCGAATGGTCACATGAATTATATTCAAATAAGGGTTCTTTTGAAGAGGTGTTTAACATACCACAAAATTCCCTTTAGTTTTCTCATAAATGTTTAATAACTTTAGCTTATCTATCAGATTTTGTAATACGCTTAACTATTAGAATATTTATTATGGCAAATTCTTATTAATATTCTCTCATTTATACAAAGGTGTACATTAATGGTTTTTTGTGGTCATCATCAGCGACATGGATGCCATTATTTTGTACGAGCCAAAGTTTACGAAATTGTTTATAAAGCCTGGCATTACATTGTGCAATTTACTCTTGCTGATGATGTCAATCAATGTTAATGTTAATGATAATGCTCGCGAGCTATGTTGATGAGCGGTTAGAAAGGAATGAAAGCAAACGAATGATATAACTATACTGACGCTGCATATTAATGCTCGATGATAAATGTTTACATTTTGTAATTTTTTTTTTTTTTTTTTTTAAATTAACAGACTTTTCGCCATCAATTTAATGTATTGTTTTAATTTCATAAATAACTGCATGGCGTGCAGTGCGCACAAAATATTTCTCCTTTATTACGTTGAAAAGAAAAGAGACTCTT